TATTGTGCCCATCTTTGCATGAAATGTTCCCTTGGTATCTCTAATTTTCTTGAAGAGGTCTCTTATCCTTCTTATTCTATTGTTTTCCTCTGTTTCTTTGCACCGATCACTGAGGAAGGCTTTCTTATCTCTCCTTGCTATTCTTAGGAATTCTGCATTCAGATGAACTAGTATGTATAAAATAAAGATGCAGAAGGATATATTGTACAACACGAGAAGTAGCCATTATTTTATAATAGCTTTAAATGTAATGTAACCTATAAAAATATTAAATCACTATGTTGTACACTTGACCTGAATGTAATATCATAAATCACCTGTATTTCAATAAAAGAGAAAACAAATGATAGTTTATAGTTTATATTCTGGTAGGTAGGACAGACATTTTCTAAATGATTATACTAAATAGTATTATGATTGGGGAAGACTTTTTGCCTCTACCTGAAGTCAACATGTTAGGATGCAACAAGGTTCAACAGGGAAGCCGGGAGAGCTGCAGTCCATGGGGTCGCAAAGAGTCGGACACGACTGAGCAACTGAACTGAACTGAACTGACTGAAGCTTCAACTAGACAATTCTCTGATATATTCAACCAAGACACACAAAGTCACACTTGAGGAAAGTGGCAAATGCATTACAAAAACAGATAATTATTTTGTAAATGAAGAAAATGAAAAAGCAATTTAAATAACCCAGGAAAGTCCCTCATGGAGATCTGATTTGAGTCAAGCATTAGTAGGATAGAAAGGAGAGAGAAAAGAAGGGGTTAGGTGAGGGAAACGTTAAGAGTAAATTAATGAAACAGGTGCATAAAGGAACAGCAGAGGGATAAACATGGCCAGTATCCTAAGGTGAGAAGTCAAGCTTCTGTTTAAGATGCAGAGATAATGTACAGCACGTGGAATACTGAATTAAGGAAAACGGGTTTGTTTGAAAACTTAGACCATTTTCAAATTCTTGAGCAAGGAAGTATCATTTTTTTCATTCATGGGACAAAAATTTGATGCAAAGTACCACATACTATTCAAGGTGTAGGAAATATAGAAATGAAAGTAACAGAGAAATCACCTCCCTCTCAAGGTTATACATTAATGGTGGTTGGGGAAATGGGACTGACCAATTATTATATTGAAGGATGATTAGTGGAATGAAGTGGGGAAAAAATCAAAACAGGGTCACAGTAAAAAAGATAAAGGCAGTTGGCGTAAATTGAAAAGAAAGGAGAATCATCACAGTAATTCATTTGTGGGATTACATAATGATATCAGAGTCTCCAATGAGATTTTTGTAAAATAGCAAAACAAACTCAACTCCCAGAATGAAACTGAAGACCCTACCACATTTTTTAGTCTTTTCGCAAAATCTAATCATATTTCATGAAGTGTATTAATTCTCCCTGTCAAAAAAGAAAGGTCAAGTCAACATGACATTCTTTCTGCTCATTTCACATTTAGGTAGTAAATCAAAGAGAATTTTTAAATGAAGTCAGTTACATAATAATCAACAAGGTGATCAATGAATGATGTTAGATTACTTCACTAAGTAACCTTACTGAAGATAATTTGCTTTAACCTCATTATCTCACAGGTCATCATTTTTATATGTTTATGGATTAAATCTCCCCACAGAAATACCCTGATGTTATTGCAGGAAATCCCTTAGGATTTGATGGAAAATTTTAACTTTCCATTGTTAGAAACATACTTAATGACTCTGACCTCTCTGTAGTCTCCCAGATTTTCATTTTTTAATCCCAAACGTTTTTGAGACCAAGGTTTATATTCTGAAATTCTAAGGCTTAACATCAAGAAGTAAAAATAAGGTGCTGGAAGACTTTACAGTGTAAGTTACATAAGGGAAGTATTCTTACTTATTTTTACTTTTAGTATTAGCAACCACTAATACATATTTATATGAATTATTACACATTTTTTCCATTGTTGTTAGATTTCAACTACTCAGTGATCTTTACAGATCTTCTCAAAACTGAAGGTTATGGGAAACTTTTAATTTACTTGTATATCTACTTCAGAAAATCTTACATAATTTTTGTTGAAATAGAAAAATAATAGATGAGTCAATTCAGATTAATGAAATGAGTAGGATATTTTGATCATATAAATATATGCATGCATATATAATATTATACATACACATATGTTATTATAATATTATATATACACATATACATACACATATTATACATACACATAACATTGTGTTAATTTAAATCCCCTGGAGAAGGAAATGGCTACCCACTACAGTTACCCACTACAGTATTCTTGCCTGGAGAATCCCATGGACAGAGGAGCCTGGCAGGCTACAGTCCATGGGTCACAAGAGTTGGACATGACTTAACGACTAAACAACCAACATACTGATTTGATAAAATGGTAAATGGAAATATGACTGCCATTTATTGAAGCAGTAGTTGACACTATATCACATCACACAGTTGTCATTTAGTCTGTTAATAATTTTGATGATAATGATAAAATATTGTTGGTTTACATCTACTATACAATGAATTAGATTTCCAGGAATTATTTGTTGCAAATCTGCACCCTTAAAACAGGCTTCCTTTGGTGACTCAGTGATCAAGATTCTACCTGCCAATGCACGAGATGTGAGTTCTATCCCTGAGTCTGGAAGATCCCTTGGAGAAGGAAATGGCAACCCACTCCAATATTCTTGCTGAGGAAATCACTTGGACAGAGCAGTCTGGCCGGCTACAGTCCACGGGTCATAAAGAGTCAGATAGGATATAGCAACTAAACAACAGCTGCCCTTGAACACCATCTCTCCTATTCCCTCAACCCTTCTCCCCATGTATCCACAACCGCTTTTACGAACTTGGTTTTTTTTTAGATTCACATGTAAATTAAATCATATAGTATATGTCTTCTTCTGTCTGACTTATTGCACTTTGTATGATGTCTGCAGGGCCCATCCATACTGTCACAGAAGACAGGATATTCATCTTCTCAGGGCTAAACAATATTTGATTGTATAGAAATACCTCAGTTTCTTTACCCATTCACCTTTTAATGGGCACTAAAGTGTTTCCATATCTTGACTACTGTAAATAATGCTGTAATAAACATGGGAGTGCAAATATCCCTTTGATAGCCTGCTTTCATTTCCTGAGTATATAGCCAAAAGTAGAATTCTGTGATCATTTGGTAGTTCTATTTTTAAGTTTTTGAGAAACCACTATATTGTTATCTTTAGTGGCTGAACCAATTAACATTGTGCACCAACAGTGCACAAGATTTCCCATTTCTCCACATCCTTGCCAATGCTTGTATCTCGTTTTCTTGATGATAGTCATTCTGACAGTGTGAGGTGATATCTCATTGTGCTTTTTATTTGCATTTCCTTAATGATTAGTAATGTTGATCAATGTTTCATGTTCCTGTTGAACATTTAAATGTTTCTGGAAAAATTTCTTTTGAGTTACTATGCCCATTTAAAAAAATCCAGTTGTTTTATAATTTTGTTATTGAGTTGTATGAATTTCTTAATACACTTTAAATGTAAACCCTTACTTTTTACTGATAAGTTTGAATAATTTTCTCTGTATATTCTTCTTAAAATTAAAAGGCTCAGTTTGCAGAAGAGGTCGCTAAGAATAATCGGTAGGATCATCGATGAAGTTATTAAGGGCCATTGACAGGACACTGAAAACAATTCCACACATCTCAGGTCTCTGGAGTGGAGGTAGGACTGGAATCAACAGTGCTTTTCCCCGTAACACCATATAGCTGTCTTGAGAAGTATCAGTCACAGTTAAGCTCAAGATGCCTATAATTTAATAAGGGAATTCTCCATACACATTATTTTCAAAAAGCAATGTAAATTACACATAAGGCATTCTAAAACATGTTGTGTACATAAGCAAGCACAAGAGTAGAGAAAACGGAGATAAGTTTGGTCTGGGACATTTAGTTAAATGTTTATGAGGTAACATTTTATATAAATTTGCTTTACAGAGAGGAGATAAAGATTCAGATATATGGGTAAAAATCAACAGGAATATGGCACAGACAGAGTCAATGTTTTTGGAAATGTGTATGACACTGGGGAAAGGAATGAAAAAAGTAAATGATAATCAATGGATAATTAATCCCTTAGCTTTCCAAAATTACTTTCTATAAAACTGAATAGTCCCCTCTTTAATCCTTAGTGATCTTCATGTAATTTCTAACATACAAACTTAACATATTTATTGTATGCTATTTTTAAATATTCACTCCTCTGAGAAAACATATGAAAAACTTTGCTCAAAAAACAAAACAAAACAAAACCTTTGCTCAAGAAAAAACATCTTTCTCACCTACTTCACTCTGTATAACAGGCTCTAGTACCATGTGTAAAGTAGATAGCCGGTAAAAAGTTGCTATACAATACTGGGAGTCCAGCCTGGCACTCTGTGATGACCTAAAAGGGTGCACTACGGGGAGAGGAGGGAGGCTCAAGTGGGAGGTGATATAGTTATAATTACCGTTGATTTGCGTTGTAGGGCAGAAGCAAATACAACATCATTAAGCAATTTTCCTCCAATTAAAAATTTTAAAAAGTGAAAACAAAAGAAAAAGACCTATATACAGGAAAATGAGTTTTGATTTATTTTTAATCTTTAATTTAAAAATTGACAATGAACTTATTTGAGAACACTGGGACAAATATGGGTACCCTAGGTTTGTACAGTAGCAAAAATTCATAAAGACAAATCTTTTCCACAGTAACCATCTTCCCTAAAATGATCAAAATAGTCTCACGAATCTTGAGTTTGAAGAGCTGAGGTCATAAAAGATGATATGTTAGTGAAACAAATGTCCCCCAGAAGTCTGTGTGCCTGTATCACAGAGACAGTGTTAGAAGCTTGAAGAAAAAGCTCCTCTCATCATTGTAAAAAAAAAACATGTTGGGAAAATTATACACATTCTAAATTAGAATCTTATATCTCCATAATTTCTATCTCAACAGACAACATAGAGATGACTGAGCACAACTTCTCCTTGACAACTGAATTTATTCTCATAGGATTTACAGACCACCCACAGCTGAAGACCCCTCTTTTTCTGGTGTTCTTTACCATCTATCTGATCACCATGGTGGGGAATCTTGGCCTGGTGGCATTGATAGTTACAGAGCATCATCTTCACACACCAATGTACATCTTTCTGGGTAACCTCACACTGATGGATTCCTGTTGTTCTTGTGCCATTACCCCCAAGATGCTGCAGAACCTCTTTTCCAAAGACAGAATGATTTCCCTCTATGAATGCATAGTACAATTTTATTTTTTCTGCCTTGCTGAAACTGCAGAATGCTTTCTCCTGGCAGCAATGGCCTATGATCGCTTTGTGGCCATCTGCAAACCACTGCAGTACCACACCATGATGTCAAAGAAACTCTGCATTCAGATGACCACGGGGGCCTACATAGCTGGAAACATTCATCCCGCGATTCATGTAGGGTTTCTGTTTAGGCTGACTTTCTGCAGGTCTCATCAAATCAACCACTTTTTTTGTGATGTGCTTCCATTTTACAGACTCTCTTGTGTGGACCCTTATATCAATCAACTGATGGTATTTATCTTTTCAGGGTCAATTCAAACCTTTACCATTACCACAGTAATAATCTCTTACCTTTTCATCCTTTTCACAATTTTCAAAATGAAATCAAACAAGACCAGAGGCAAAGCCCTATCTACTTGTGCGTCACACTTTCTCTCTGTCTCGATATTCTACGGTTCTCTTCTCTTCATGTACATTAGACCAAGTTCAGTTAATGAAGAAGAAAAAGACATACCTGTTGCTATTTTTTATACTCTAGTTATTCCTTTATTAAACCCTTTTATTTATAGTCTAAGAAATAAGGAAATAATAAAAGTCATAAAAAAAATTATGAAGATTTCATAATATTCTGAAATAAATACCATGCCCTACAGCTCATTGATTTTGAGTAAATTTTTTTTTCAAAATCAAGGATTATTGAATGGAAAAGTGAACATGTTCACTATTTAATATATAAAATATAAAATTACTAAAATACGATTGGTTTATAAACCAAATAGCTTCAGAAAGGAGAGACAGAGATAGAGAACGAATAAATAGATGCCAAGGGGGAAGGGGGAGGGATGAATTGGGGACTGGGACTGACATATACTCTCTACTGGCACCATGTATAAAACAGATGACTAATGAGAGCCTACTGCACGGCAGCACAGGGAACTCTACTCAACGCTCCGTGGTGACCTAAGCGGGAAGGAAATTAAAAAAGGAGGAGACACATGCTAAAATGTAGCTGATTCACTTTGCTATTCAGCAGAAATTTACACAACATTGTGAAGTAACTATACCCCAATAAAAATTAATTTAAAAAAGAATGAAGTGATGTCATTTGCAGCAACATGTATGGACCTGGAGATTATCATACTAAGTGAAGTAAGTCTCATAGAGAAAGACAAATATCATATGATATAGATTAGACGTGGAATCTACAATGAACATATTTACAAAACAGAAATAGACCCACAGACTTAGAAAGCAAACTTCTGATTACCAAAGGGTGAGGGAGTGGGATAAACCGGGAGTTGGGATTGACTTATACAAACTACTATATTTATAATAGTTAACCAACACAGATCTACTATACTGCACAGGGAATTCTGCTCAATATTCTATAATAGCCTAAATGGGAAAGGAATTTGAAAAAGAGTATATATATATATATATATATATATATATATATATATATATATATTGTATAACTGAATCACTTTGCTATACACCTGAAACAAAAACATCTTAAATCAACTATATTCCAATACAAAATAAACATTTTAAAATAAACAAGTACATAAAATAAAGTTTATATAAACTTCCAAAGTTGGTTATCTCCACCTTAAGAACATTTTTGAAATGAGATTTAGATGACCGCTGTCACCTCCTAGCACTCTTACAACTTGAAAAATCAGGTGGGATCTGGGATGGAATCACAGATCCATTACAGGCCATGTCTTACACTGTTCAGTTACTTGTTACTTATACTAAACTCTGGGGCAGGCCCGACCAGGAGGTAGCTCGTTCTCTCTTCCTGGAGAATTTTACAAGATGAAGGTTAATCCCACAGTTCCCACTGTTACAGCTAGTCTCAAACACACACTAATATTCACCTTATTCCTCTGCTTGATTCATTACACTTCTGCTGCTCCAGATGACTACCATAATGGGATGATCATGAAGCAGATCCCTTCAGGGGGTGGGTCCTGAGCCAGGGCTGTCTGAACCATTTGAGTATAAGGTTATTCGTCTATTTACTGTCAAATCTGAGCAACAGAATACTAACAGATGCATGAATCATCTCCATATCTAGATTATGCTGATTCTACTCAAAATGAATTCCTTACCAAAATGAATTTCTTCCCACTTTAGAGTAAAAAAGGTTCAGAGTAGCACTCTTACCACCAAGTGACTGACTGATCTCCTTGAATGATGTTGCCACACTGGGGGCCAGAGTTGTCTCCTTCTGGGCAAGTTGAACTTCTAGAAGAAACAGTTGCTAAATCAGCCTAGAAAATCTGGAACCTCTGCTATTAGGCAACATGCATGCCTCCATCCCAGCCATATAGCCATTTTTCATGTGTCCATAATCCAGCACTGGGGTGATGGATGAACAAAGCTTTATGACCTCAACTGGCTGAGTCATTCTAATTTGGTTCTTTAGCAGCTCTTCCATAGTAGATGTTGTGTGGAGGACATTTACATTACCATATGAGGTGCTCCATACTTCACATTCATTCCAAGGGATCCATTCCTATGCCTCTTCTTCCTGGACTCTGACCTTCTCATCTCTCTCCCCCCAGGACACTGACCAATATCCAAACCATTCACCTCTACCCTGAATCTATATAGTTTTAACTTGGACCACTTCTCTTTCTATACAGTAGAAATGGATAAGCATTCCAACACTCTAAAGGAGGAGTTCCCCTTATCAATGCCTTTCAAGATCACTCTGGCTCAGTGGCCACTGACTTGTATCAACAGACCAAGCTTACTGTCCAAAACCTAGCTTGGCTGTTTGAGGCAAGACGTGTGAGCTGAGGGAAAGAGGTCATTGCAATGGTAGTAGATAACAAGGCAGTCTGGGTCACCTACTTGTGTGGTTTACCGTATTCTCTGGCCCTGCTCATAATAAATCTTAAATGGTCCATCTTTGTCTTCTAATGAATTGTTCCTAAGCTCACTCAACCTTATACTTATTAGTCTGATAAACTCCAGTTCATGAGTCAGCTCTGGCTTCTTGGTCACCTAATGTTCCAAAATCAGGAACTCTTTCTCTAGTAAGGTTCACAGCACACCAGGGAGTTATTTTCTTAAGTAGTTGATTATTCTCTGCTGCAGAAAATAAGGCCTTGCCCCAACACCATAAGCAACTCTCCTACTAGAGTTTTCCATTAACTTTCCACTCACTCTATATCCTCTTCCCACCTCAGCTATCTCTAACACCATTGGTCTGATTAGTCATTGGACTCAAATATCAGGGCCCTTCACCCCCAGCTTGAGCCTGCTGAAGAGCCCATTCCTGTGTTGGGACCCACCAAAACTTGCCTTCTTCTTCATTTGGGCAGATATGTCTTGGTATAGGATCTTTTCCTCTATCTCAGACATTTTTAAATGTTTGGAAATAGATTCAAACAAGTACGTGAGTTGTTATATCACAGCCCTAAGATTTTAATTATATTATATACCATACATCATTACACCTTTTTCTGAATATAAGATTATTAATTTTTAAATTGAAAATAGTGTGTGGGAGTAACATTTTTAAATCAATACTCAAAATAAAACTTTTAATACCATTTCTTTAATTCTTATTCTATTTTCATATTTTATACTACACATAATATTTTAGCATAGTGATAATTCTACCAAGTCATAGATAAAATGTACATAATCAGAATATACTCCCCAAGATTTTAGTAATATGAATATACACCAAAAATGGCTTGGAATGCTCTGCTGGTGAAGCCACCATAAGATGGAACAAAGTGGAGTCACATAATTAGATGCGACAATCTAGAGGAAAATCTAGTATTAAAGAGGAAGGTCAAATATAAAACTAAGGGAAACACAAGCATCATTAAACACAGAGAAAAACAACCCTGATAAAACACTGAAATGGAAGTAGTCAGGAAGATAGAAACAGTGAGTACTATCACAGAACCAGAGGTGAAGATTTTAAAAAATGCCAAATATCACAGCTGGGTTAGAAAGATAATTAAATGTTCTTTGGAGTTGACATTTAGAGTTGGTTGTTACCTTATTGAGTGACAGGGTTTGGTGAATTGGCAGGGACAGAAAAGAACGGGAAGAAACCAATCAAAACAATTTCTAATCTATTTTACCATTCCGTTTATACTATCTGTATCTCCTATATGCCTTGGACTGTAAGGAGGTCCAACTAGTCCATCCTCAAGGAAATCAGTCTTGAATACTCATTGGAAGGACCGATGCTGAGGCTGAAACTCCAATACTTTGGCCACCTGATGTGAAAAACCAACTCATTGGAAAAGGCCCTGTTGCTGGGAAAGATTGAAGGCAGGAGAAGGGGACGACAGAGGACGAGATGTTTGGATGGCACCACCTACGCGATGGACATGCATTTGAGTAAGCTCCAGGAGTTGGTGATGCATAGAGAAGCCTGGCATGCTGCAGTGCATATGGTCGCGAAGAGTTGGACGTGACAGAGCGACTGAACTGAACTGAATCCCCAACATCATGTATGAGTAAGCCTCAGCCACCCTAGTTTACTACTTATATATATTTTATATAAATTATTTATATTATTATTATATATATACTATTTATATATTTTTAACTTAGGTCTTCCTCTTTCAAGCTTCCAGGATTTTTTCATATGTTCCCATTAGTCTTCTTATTTTTCTCATGTGCATCATTTATTATAACTCTACTTATCCTGCAAAGTTAATCTGAAATGGCACTTTCAATGAGGAATCTTTCTTTTTTCCTCTGGGTCTCCATCCACTTCATTCACCATGTTTATATGTGACCTACTTACACTTTTTAATATCACAGCCTGAACTGCCTTCTCGTTAGCAATGCAAGTGTCTTTCTCTCACTAGATTTTGAGCTTCTTGTGGAGCCATTTCTAAAACCTAAATATTTCACATCCTGCGCTCATTCTATCTACCATCTCGTCCAGCACCCTGTATATTAGAAGCACTTGACTGAAGTTAAAACTGAAATTTTAAATATCAGTGAAGTGTATATTGAGAATTTAACTCAGTGTGTTGTCAGAAGCACAAAATACATAAGACATGATTGGTACTTTATGGATATTTAGCCAATACTTTAAAATCATCACATAAGAAGTCACATGTAACCAAGTGGCAAATGCACTTTGATAGCAGTTTAGTTACTAAACAGAACAGGAAAAGGAACATCAATATAATTGAAAGGAATGTCCTCATAGAGATTTGACTTAAGACCAAGAAGAGTATATTGGGCTGAAAAGAGAGACTGATCAAGGAGTTTTAGCTGAAATAAACTTTAATTGTAAATTAATCTAGCAGGCATACACAAGACTAGTGAAGGAATAAATACAACTAAGTGTCATGTCCTGAGGTCAGAAGAAATCAGGATTATAAGTAAGATACTAAAAGATTGTGGACCATGTAGAATACTAAGTTATTTTTAAAAATGGATTGTTTGAAACTAACAAAAGATCATTTCAAATTCTTGAGCAGGAAAATATAATTTCTTTCATCTAACAAGTATTTGTTGACCATTACAATCTGCCACATACTATCAAGGCATTATAAACACGGAAATGAAAGTAACAGAGAGAAAAACCCTTTCCATTTAGCTCCACATGCTAATGGTGGGGGAGATGTTGATTGACAATAAATATACCAACAAATAAATATGTAGTATACTGAAGAGTGATTAGTGGAATGTAGTGGAAAAAAACAGGGTAAGAAGGATAAAGGCAGCTGGGGAAAACTGAAAAGAAAGGAGAACCATCTAGGTGATTCAGGTTGTTGCTGTTGTTGTTGTTTAGTCACTACTTTAGTTGATAAATGGTGTCTGACTCTGTGGTGACCCCACGGACTATAATCCCTCTGTCCGTGCAGTTTCCCAGGCAAGAATACTGGAGTGAGTTCCCATTTCCTTTTCCAGGGGATCTTTCTGACCTATGGATCGAACTCGCATCTCTTTCTTCCATTGCAGGTGGATTCTTTACTGCTGAACCACCAGGGAAGCCCTAGGTAATTCATATGTGGGACTAAATAATAATATCAGAGTTTCCAATGATATTTTGCAAAACATCAGGACACATCAACTCACAGACGACCCTGTGATAAAACTACCACATCTTCTAGCCTCCTCTCAAAATTCTAAGCATCTTTCATAAACCATATTAATTCCTCCAGTAAAAAAGGTCAAGCCAACATGAGACTCTTTCCTGCTCATATTGCATTTAAGCAGCATAATAAACAGAATTTTAAAATGAGATCAGTTACATATTAGTCAATGGGTAATGATCAAATAACCTTAGTGATCTTAATGAAAGTAAACTGTTTTAACCTCATTATTTCACAGGTCATCCTGATGTGTGTTGGTGACTGAATCTCCATATGGAAATATATTGGTGCCCCTGCAGGGAAATCCCTTAGGATTTGATGGAAAATTTTACTTTGTAATGTAAGAAACATAATTATTGACTCTGACCTATTTATATTCGCCCATATTTTCATTCTTTTAATCCCAAATGTTTTAAGAGACTAAGGCTTATATTCTGAAATTCTATGAGATCCAAGATCACAAGGCAAACATAAGATGCTGCAAAACCTTCTGCTGTGAAATCTAGGTAAGAGAAGTACTCTAATTTATTTTTAATATTAGTATTCCTTGATATTTGTTGATCTAAAGTATTTTGTTGTTGCTGCTGCTAAGTCACTTCAGTCGTGTCCAACTCTGTGTGACCCCACAGACGGCAGCCCACCATGCTCCGCCGTCCCTGGGATTCTCCAGGCAAAAATACTGGAGAGGGTATTTTGCTGTTATTAGATGTCAGTTACTCAGTTATCTTTTTACCTCTTTCCCAAACTGAAGGCTATCGAAAAACTAGAATGATATTCAAACTGTAAAGTACCGTGACCTTTCTTGTCAGTTAAATTTTAAAAAATACACAGGTAAAGACAGAAAGTAATCAAATAATCTAGGAACTTTCATTGAATGCTTTCTTAGCTTGGCCCAATAATCCAACAGCTAATATTTAATATTTTACAACAAACATTTTTCAGCTGAGTTCTTTAATACTTGACTATGGAAAAAATAAACCCATTTGAAAACAACATAGAATTCATGATTAGATATCAGTCAATATTTCTAGTGGATCACTAAATAATGGTAGAAGATAACCATCTAAAGGAAATAAAAATTTGTTCTAAAAGTATATTAAGGTTTAAAGAAATTTCTCTTTTTCTAAATGTTAGAAAGCTAAAGCATAAAGTTTATTTTATTAACTTGGAATCTATTTTGATATACTTCAGAAAATCTTATATAAATTTTTAGAAGCAAAATAGTAGATGAGTCAACTCAGATAAGATACCTAAAAGTTCTTATTATGTATATATATAACTGAAATATATTTGACATACATTGTGAAAGTTTCATGCTTACAACATGTTGATTTGAAAAACTAGTAATTGGTTGCAATTGCAGAATGTTAGCTCTCTATAATGTCACATAATTTTCATTTTTGTGGCAGAAATCACTGAGATCTAGTCTCTCAGTGGTTTAGATGATTATAGTAAAATATTGTTTATATTCACTGTAGTGTGTACTAGATATTATCTGTTAATTTCAGATAAGATCTTACTTATCTGTTAATTTCATGTTTGTACCAATAAAGAATACCTTTCCTGTTTCCTCATCTCCCAGAGTCCCCAGTAACCACTATTTTACTCTGTTTTCATGTTTGGTTTTTTTTTTAGATGCACATTTAAGCTATATCTTACAGTTTTTGTCTTTCTCTGACTTATATAATTTGGCATAATGTCCCCAAAGTCAATCCACGATGCTGTAAAATTGAAGGATATCCTTCTTTCTCATGTCTGAATGTCCTTTCACTTCTAAACATTCATCCTTAGACAGATACACAGATGTTTCTGTATTTTAGCTACTGTAACTAGAAATACAAGACTGCATATATCCCTTTCATAATTTGTTTTCATTTGCTTAGAGTATATATACAGAAGCACAATTGTAGTGTTACATGGTAGTTCTGTTTTAAATTATCTGAGGAAACTCCATGCTGGCATCCACAGTGGCTGAACCAATTTACATTTCCACCAACAAAGTTCCTGCCACGTTCTCTGTTCTCCACAGTCTAGGCAACAATGGTTATCTCTCATCATCTTGATGATAGGCATTCTGAAATGTGTGAGGTAATATCTCATGGTTTTTTATTTGCATTTCTCTAATGATTACTGATGTCAACCATCTTTTCATGTGTCTGCTGACCATTTGGATGTTTTTTGTAAAATTATCTGGGTAGTTCCTCTGCCCATTTTTTAATCTGAATGTCTATACTTTTACTATTGAGCTGTATGGGTTTTCACATATTTAAGATATTAATCTTAATTTTTAAATGATGAGTTTTGAATAATTCTCCTTGTAGAATCTTCTCAACCTGCAGAAGAGTTTACTAGGGATCACTGTAAGGACCACCAAAGACGTTATTAGGCATCAGTGGTGGGACCCTGGAAACAAGTTCATCCATCCCAGGTCACTGGGAGGGAAGGAGGACTAGAATCAATACTGTTCTTTCTGCTTTTGTACTGTACAGCTGCTATAAGAAGTGTAAGTTACAGCTAACCTCAAAACGTCTATTATACAATAAGTTAATTGTACACACTTATGAAAAACGCAATGTCAATTAGACATGTTATCAAAGATTGTGTTGGGTATACAAGACGTGATGGAGAGTCCAGAAAGTGAAAATTAGTGTGATCGGGGGATCTGGTTAACTTTATTAAGTAGTAGTATATACAAACCATGCTTTAGATGAAGGAGAAAAGGATGCAGATATCCTAGAAATAGGAATAATGGCATGGACAGTCAGTGCTTATGAAAATGGGTATGAAACTGGGAAAAGGGATAAAGAGGTGATAATCAATTCTTATTTTACTCCTTAGCTTTCTGAGTTTACTTTCTTTGAAACTGAACAGTACTCTCAATAATCCTTAGTAATCTTCAAACAATTCTTAAGACATAAATTAACATATCTATTCTATGCTATTTTAAAATATCTATTCCACTGGGACAGTATATGAAAATTTAATTTTAAAAAGTTTCTATATATAGAAAAAGTAATTTAAATTCATTTTTAAAAGCTTTAATATAAAATTGAAATAAATTTTATGGGCAAAATGAAGCAAATATGAGTACCTAGATTTGCACACCATTCTTCCATAAATTCATAAAGACAAACCTTTTCCACTGTTAGCACCGCCCCCCCGTGATTACCAAATAGCCATGTGAATGTTGAGTTTCAGAGTTGAGGTCATAGGCACTGACATGTTTTGGAGATGAATATTCCCTAGAAGCTTGTGTCCTTGTATCACAAGACAGCAGGAGAAGCTTTCTCCTTATTAAAAAAAATATTAAAAGGAAAGTTATACACATTCTAAATTGGAATCTTATCTCTCCATAATTCCTATCTCCACAGACAACAGTAGAGATGACAGAGGATAACCTCTCCTTGGCACCTGAATTTACCCTGACAGGATTTGCAGATCACCCAGAGCTGAAGACCCTTCTGTTCCTGGCGTTCCTTACCATCTACCTGATCACCATGGTGGGGAATCTTGGCCTGGTGGCATTGATAGTTGCAGAGCATCGTCTTCACACACCAATGTACATCTTCCTGGGGAATCTTGCTCTGATGGATTCCTGTTGTTCTTGTGCCATTACCCCCAAGATGCTACAGAACTTCTTTTCCAAAGACAGAATGATTTCCCTCTATGAATGTATGGCACAATTTTACTTTCTCTGCCTTGCTGAAACTGCAGATTGCTTTCTCCTGGCAGCAATGGCCTATGATCGCTGTGTGGCCATCTGCAAACCACTGCAGTACCACACGATGATGTCAAAGAAACTCTGCATTCAGATGACCACAGGGGCCTACATAGCTGGGAACCTGCATTCCATGATTCACATCGGATTTTTGTTCAGGCTAACTTTCTGTAGGTCTCATCAAATCAATCACTTCTTTTGTGATGTGCTTCCATTATATAGACTCTCCTGTGCTGACCCTTATATCAATGAATTAATGATATTTATCTTTTCAGGGTCAGTTCAAGTATTCTCTATTATCATAGTAATAATCTCTTATCTTCTCATCCTTTTCACAATTTTTAAGATGAAATCCAAAGAAGGAAAAGGCAAAGCCCTATCCACCTGTGCATCCTACTTTCTCTCCGTCTCAATGTTCTACGGTTCCCTCCTCTTCATGTACATTAGACCAAATTCAGTTAATGACACAGATAAAGATATACCTCTTGCTATTTTTTATACACTAGTTATCCCTTTGTTAAATCCTTTCATTTATAGTCTAAGAAATAAGGAAGTAATAAATGTTATGAAAAAAATTATGAAGAAAACATCATAACATTCTAAAATATCATTCTATATGGGCAACTGATTTTAATTTGATAAAACTTTATTTTCAAAATCAAGCAATCCTGAGAAAGTGATAAATGACCATTTTGCATGGAAAATATTAAATTACTAAAACATGATGTTGTGTAAGTCATGCAAACAAGAAAGGAGAGATTCTGCTGCAACGTATTTCAAAATATAAGTGACTAGGTTCCATCTCAGATAAACTAAATAATTATTCTTGAGGTGACAGATTATGTCAGGATGTATTTATATATACTAGCAACTATTTGTTTCAGAGTAATGAGCTACAATTTTCAATAAATCCAATAAATGCTAAAAATAGAAGTAACTATATATGAAAGTCTCCTCCATTTAATGCTGTTGGCAACATCCTGGAATCCCACAAGGCATAATGTTACAAAATCTCCCATATTCCAGGTTCTCTAATACCAAACCCTTCTTAAGCAACAGCATGTGATAGAAGTAAACTATGTTTGAATTTGAACCACAATATTGAGTTTGCTTTAGAAATTATACTTAACTATGAAATCAAGCAGAACATATATTCTCTAAGCAGTTTCCTTCTAGTGTTAGTTTTCTCTCAAGTTCTCTGAAATACAGTATCTGAATATATCACTGATTTACCAATATGAAGTTGAAAATGAGGCTATTTATATGACATCTCTATGAATTTTACATTTTCATGTAGTTTGGCTGACTATCTATCATATGATAGTGTAATTTATTAATTAAAGGGCTTTGTTCTCTGATAGTATTACTTGCCTTGTTTGCCATTAGAAATACCACTAACGTGGACTGACTGCAATGTAACATACTGATATAAAAACAGCATTAACAAAAAGGATGGAGGTGCTTTTCAAGCATAACAGAGGCAGAAAAAAGTGAAAATTCTGATTATCTAAACTATGTATTGATTCTTACATGGGCAAATATGAAAGAAAAAATAATTTACAGACAAACTATCATCAGCTGTTCACTATGCTAGACTTTATGTTACCCCCTCAACTAGTTAGACCTTTTACATGCTGGTCCTCAGTATAAAAATATCATACTCTGAAATACTGAGGAACATGCCCAACTCATCCAATTCACCTGGTCTGAACTAGAATTTGAATCTATACTGTCTTTTCCTCTATGTGCTTTGGGAGTTCAGGAAATGGACAGCATGTAGCTTGGGGTATTGTGTTCTTAACTAGCATGGGAAGTAACCTGTGCTACTGAAAACTGGGGGGGAAATGTAGCATTTGGAGAAACACAGGAATGGATATGACCAGAGTCAATATTTATAGAAATGAGTGTGGTACTGGGAGTGGGAGATGAGGAAGATGAACCATAGAACAGAGCCAGAAAGTGGACAAAACTGTTGGAGAGAGCTGTTGGTGAATGTGGGGAGAAGGGGGAAAGAGGATCAGGTTACTGAGAAACTTATACACTACCCTGAAGAATCTGAATTTATCTCAGAGCCATCAAACACTGAAGATAACCTGGCGCAGAGTGATGTGATTGTACAGTTCAGAAGTTTGATCTTGCAACTGACTGGAAGGAGACTTGAATCAAGGAGACTAACTTATTTTTAAGGAGAACTGAAACTGGAGAATATCCTAAACAGAGAGAAGTATACAGAAAGAAGCAATATTTTAAAGAAAAAATAGTAAATTGTACCTGTTAGATAATAAAATGAAAGCCTATCTTCTTGCTGAATCAAACATGACATAACAGATTTCATACTTAATAATGTCATACCTGACATATGGTCATTCAATAAGCATTTCCTTCAATATGCTTTTAATATAATGGAGTATGTTAAAATGTAATAGGCTTATTATTTTTCTTTTAATAAAATAATACATTTTAATTTCTCAATTTCAAATATCATACTGTAAATACCAATAGATATAACCCAAAATAAAGCTTTTTAGGATTTAACATATTTTAGAAGCGAAAAGAAGTCTAGACAGCAAAACTTTGAGAAGCTCTGAATTAAACAGATGTTCTAATCCTGTATCACCCTCTATTTTAGTGGATATTTTGTTATTAGACTTCCATGCATTGATTTCATTTCCTTTTTCTAAGGGTACCATGATTTCTGTCATGGACATCTGTAGCATTCATCTCACCATTAGCAACACTGAATCCCAGAGGTCTGTTAAGGGAAAGTATGTGACTTACTTGAGGACAGTGAGAAAAAAAGGGGTGATTTTCCAGAAGTTTATAGGAAATATGGATCTTTTATTTTAATATAGGTCCACAAAACAGGTAGTGTTTATCTCTCTGATTTTCATGAAGCTTGGCACAATCAACATTGCTTTTGTTAGCAAGAGTGAAACCAGTCTAGAGATGAAGTCAAATAGACAAGGAAGACAGCTGAAAAATCACAGAGAAACAGACTTAGAATCACTGGAATAAACCATTCTTCCCGTTGCATAATCCAAAAGATCTTCATACAGTCTGAGGTGCCTTATCTGCAAGTGAATAAATATTAACTGAAACACTTATTATTTACAAGTTTACAAATAACTTTTCAAGAAACTTTTTACCCACATCCATTTAGTGCTCTATTAAGTCTTTTATTTTAATTATTAAATTTTAATTTCCCATGTGTTATGGCTCAGTCATGTCTGACTCTTTGCAGCCCCATGGACTGTAGCTCACCAGGCTCCTCTGTCCATGGAATTCTCCACACAAGAATACTGGAGTGGGTTGCTACTTCCTTCTCCATGAACATATTGTTCAGTCAGTTCAGTCACTCAGTCGTGTCCAACTCTTTGCAACCCCAAGGACTGCAGCATGCCAGGGTTCCCTGTCCATCACCAACTCCTGGAGCTTGCTCAAACTCATGTCCGTCGAGTAACCGTCTCATTCTCTGTCATTCCCTTCTCCACATGACCTCAATCTTTCCCAGCATCAGGGTCTTTTCCAATGAGTAGATTCTTCATAATAGGTGGCCAAAGTATTGGAGTCTCAGCTTCAGCATCAGTCCTTCCAATGAATATTCAGGACTGATTTCCTTTAGGATGTACTGGCTAGATCTCCTTACAGTCCAAGGGACTCTTCAACACCACAGTTTAAAAGCATCAATTCCTCAGCACTCAACTTTCTTTATAGTCCAACTCTCACATCCATACATGACTACTGGAAAAACCATAGCCTTGACTAGATAGACCTTTGTTGGTAAAGTAATGCGTCTGCTTTTTAATATGCTGTCTAGGTGGGTCATGACTTTTCTCCCAAGGAGTAAGCGTCTTTTAACTTCATGGTTGCAGTCACCATCTGCAGTGATTTTGGAGCCCCCCCCTCCCAAAAAAAATAAAGTCTCTCACTGTTTCCATTGTTCCCCCATCTATTTGCCATGAAGTGACGGGACCAGATGTCATGATCTTAGTTTTCTGAATGTTAAGTTTTAAGCCAACTTTTTGACTCTCCTCTTTCACTTTCATCAAGAGGCTCTTTAGTTCTTCTTTGCTTTCTGCCATAAGGGTGGCGTCATCTGCGTATTGTAGAGTGAGTGAATAAAAAGCAACACAGTAGGTTGTCAGAATAAACAAGGAGATATAAGAAGCTAAATAATAGTGCAGAAACTAAAAACTCAGAATATGACAAAAGCATAATTTCAAAACAATAGATAAATGATAGTGTTTGGAAAACTATTCTGCATTGAGAAATAAGATTAGATTTCTGTTTATATTTATACTAAAATATATTTCATGTGTACTGAAAACATAAGAATCAACACTGAATACAAATAGTAGAAGTAATTCTGAGAAAGGAAAATATTTACTGTAAAAACAACAAATCTAGAAATCATAAACCAGATAATTGATATATATAATTCTCCAGATCATTGCCTATTTGCTCTCAATCCATTTCTCAACTTTCACATCTATGTTTTGTTTTATAAGCAATTTCCACTGTAAACTATTTGCCAGACTCCCTTTCAAATGGCTTTGGGCTAGATTTGGACAATGAGAGGCACTGATAAGAAACTTCGGACATGGAAGCAACCTAGATGCCCATCAGTAGATGAATGCATAAGGAAGATATGGTACATATACACCATGGAACATTACTCAGCCATTAAAAAGAATTCATTTGAATCAGTTCTAATGAGATGGATGAAACTGGAGCCCATTATACAGAGTGAAGTAAGCCAGAAAGATAAAGACCAATACAGTATACTAACGCATATATATGGAATTTAGAAAGATGGTAATGATAACCCTATATGCAAAACAGAAAAAGAGACACAGATGTACAGAACAGAATTTTGGACTCTCTGGGAGAAGGCGAGGGTGGGATGTTTCGAGAGAACAGCATCTAGGGTGAAACAGATCACCAGCCCAGGCTGGATGCATGAGACAAGTGCTCGGGCCTGGTGCACTGGGAAGATCCAGAGGAACTGGGTGGAGAGGGAGGTTGGAGGAGGGATTGGGATGGGGAATACATGTAAATCCATGGCTGATTCATGTCAATGTATGACAAAAACCACTACAATATTGTAAATTAATTAGCCTCCAACTAATAAAAATAAATGAAAAAAAAAAACTGCTCCAAAAAAAAAAAAAACAAACTTCAGAGTGGAGGAAAAGAAATCACAATATCTCTCCCCTTTTTCTCTGCTACAGGCAGTGTCTCCAGCACAACTTGCATCTTCTCACTGAGTCCAGCCCCGGCAGGAAAATTGCTCAAGGCTGAAATCAATGGTTCTGTCAACATCACTGATCCCTGTAGGAGCTTCCCACCATTAGTAATCTTTCAATTACTATTGCCTGTTTTAATCTTTGCTTTTATAATGCTTTGGAACTGTTCACTAAATTAAATTTTTCTCATTTTAACTAGTGGGCAAGATCTCAGATTTTTTGAGTTGACCCTCTTAAAATGACTACATAAAGTGTTAAAACATTTAGAGAACAATAAAAAAGCAGAGTAAACAGTCAAATAAAAATACAAAAAAAAAAAGAAATTTATGAGAGAAAGAAAAGTTAAACG